GTATGTCATTGTCGTATCAAACCAGCTGGAAGTATCTGCAGACAATTTACATATATCCAAAGGTTTATTTTTTCTACCCATCACCTTTATTTGTATTTTTAAAAAAGCATTTCGTAAACGTGCGCTTAGGAGGATCATGTTTCCAAATTGCTTTGAGTTTCAAACAAGTCTTGTTGTTATCGAGCCATTGCAGTGCATGATTTGCTTCAAGTGAACAACTCCACTTAAATACATATGTCATAGTCGTCTTTCGCACAAACCGAGTTTTCCTCGTATAAAATGTAAATTAACAGAAAATTGGAAACTTATAGAGAACAAAAGTACTAAGTTTTCATACAAACACGGCACATCTTTCGTCTACAAAGAATATCCTCCAAGCATCTCAATCATTGACTTTCTTTAAAAATACAGTTGTTACTTAAGGTACAGTTCGAAGTAAAAGTAAGTCATCAATCTGTCAGGGCTGCATCATATAAATTTCCAAAGTGAGTGATAATGGATGGATGTGCCCAGTGACTGTGTGGTAATTTGATGAATAAATAACAACAAAAGCTAAGTGGTGATAGCGTGATCAATCATCCAATAGGTGCACATATTTTATAATATAAGCAGTTAAATTACTCGCAATTTCCTTTTTTTTGTTAAAAATGTTTCTCGATGGTTTTACTGCTAAATGTTTTCTTCCTTCGTGTCACTTTTAAATGCATTATCTCCTTCGTATTTGATTAGTTCGCGTATGTCTTATTTCGTATCATTTTCGCACATCCACTCCACAGCGAGCTAATATCGAGTAGGTTTATTTAATCTAAGTGTATGCAAGAGAGTGAGAGATACTAAGATGGAGGAATAAGACTGACTTCTTAGAGCCACTCTACAACAAATACTTTTCTCAAAAGTCCCAGGTTGTTTTTTTTGCTGGCGAATGCTAATTCTTGTATCGTTTGAATTGGTATAGGATTGATTGAATTTTAGGTGTTCACCGATCGATGCCGAGATCCAGGCAATGAACGCGGAATGCCGACTGTTCCCTGTTCCA